TATATATATATATATATATATATATATATATATATATATATATACATATACATATACATATACATATACATATACATATATATATATTATATACATATACATATACATATATATATATTATATACATATACATATACATATACATATATATATATTATATACATATACATATACATATACATATACATATATATATATACATATATATATGTGTATATGTATATATATATATATATATATATATATATATATAAATATATCGACCAAATTCAAAATACTGTAACGAAAGTTTCAAAAGGAATAGGGAGGATGCGAAGAATGAAACAGTTTGTTCCCAAATCAACATTATTGAAAATCTACAATGCCATTGTGTTGTCACACTTTGATTATTGTAGCTTGGTATGGGGCAACTGTTGTGAATATCTAATTGATAAACTTCAAAAATTACAAAATAGAGCAGCGCGAATTATCACTGGTAGCACATACGATGTAAGTTCTGAGAACGTTTTAAAAGAGTTAAACTGGCAACCCCTTAAAAATCGATACAAAAACAATAAGACGAGCTTCTTGCATAAACTAAGAAATGACGCACTGCCATCGTCTTTAACAAACGTTAACATGTTCAAAATTGCAAATAATGATAGGTATAACTTGCGAAGTAATGATAACAACTATACACTTGAAAAGCCGGAAACAAACTTTATGAAAAAGAGCTTTAGTTACTCTGCTGCATCACTTTGGAACAGCTTGCCCACTGCAGCTAAAGAAAAAGGCATTGGCTTAAACAAATTTAAATGTATTCTTGACGGTACATGATTTCAGTACTATACATATACTTGTTTGTTAATATTTTTATCTAAGCTTTAATATGTGTGTAATATTATATTAGGAAATTTTATTAGTGTGATGCATGTAAACGGCCCCTTGAAAAGCAGGTGTATATTTGAGCCCTGAAGGGTTACCGCTTTTAAATATTTTTAAATAATAATAATAATAATAATTTTTATGCTAACATTTCGTTGTATAGTATACGGGGTGTCCCCCCAAAATACCCCTACTATATTTAATGCAGGCATTATAACGTTAGCTTTAGCAGAAGTTTCATACTTTTGTATGGAATGAAATAACTATCATATCGTTTAATCCATTGCTATTTGACAATCAAAATAACCAACCGCTTGCGCTCAAGATCATATAGATATCATATATACACTAGATATAGCGCATCTCTTTTACACGCGTAAAAAATATGAGCCTGCTGTTTAACAGGAATGGATTGAACAATGTTGTGCGGCCCATATTGTCATTGTTCACACTTGTCAACAATATTGAACAATATTGTTGAGCCTGAATCGGGTGTAACAATATTGTTCAATATTGTTGACAACTGTGAACAATGTGGACCGCACAACATTGTTCAATCAATAAATAAAATCAGTCCTGTTTTCATCAATATTGCAACGACTTTATCGTTTTTAGCTGTGTAGTAAAATTCAGTGAAGCCAAGAATATTCCAGCGGTTGCCCCCATTTGAATAGATGGCGAGTGGGAACTACCCGGAACTACCAAAATGGCCGCTAACAAACGCTTAAAAGTCAACAATAACTTTCATCATTTGAATAGTTTAAAAGTGTATTTGTAATAGGTTTAGCTTAATGTTTAAGTTCCCTGTTTAAGAAATAGGAAACATACGAATCTTCTGATTTCATGGGAATATCCTGAGACTGCATATCCTGGGAATATCCTGGGAATGTCCTGGGAATATCCTGGGAATATCCTGGGAATATCCTGAGAATATCCTGGGAATGTCCTGGGAATATCCTTGGAATATCCTGGGAATATCCTGGGAATATCCTGGGAGTATCCTGGGAATATCCTGGGAGTATCCTGGGAAAATCCTGGGAATATCTTGGGAATATTCTGGGAATATCCGGGGTACGAGGCAGCTTAAAAGTGGCAACACCAATATTCTAACTTGTCCACTAAAATATGCAAATTAGATAAAATCATGGGAATTTTTTTTCACTAGTAAAATTAAATCATTCAAATTAGTTATACTTTCGATCTGAATTACTGAATTACTTTCGCCTGAATTACTTTTGACCTAATTTCTATAATTTAGACAAGTTGAAACATTGGTGTATAAATACTTAAGGTAGCAACCTGAAGTGAATCTGGAAGGCAAATTTATTTTGGTACGTAAGTCAACTATCAATGGCATAGAACGATAGGCTAATTATTTTATCTATAGTATAACAATCTGAAACTTCTATCAAAGCTGACGTTGCAACATCACAAAGGATAGTGGGGGCATTTTGGGGAACACCGTGTGTAGTAGAGAATGTTTTTACTTGCATACATACAGTTAGTTTGAAGTTGTATGTTTTCAGACGTTTTAATAAATAAGAATTTTTCATTGAATTGAGCTTACCTTTCATTGTAAGAGAAATTAGAATTATTTCTTGTTATTTTTGGGACATCTCGTCAATCGAAGTGAAACGACTTGCTAACAAGGAGACCTTAATTTTTTATCAATTCTGTTAAGTATACTACTAGTAGTATGCAATAGTTATCATAACAAGTCACTTCTGCAGCTTCAAAACTGATTATTTACTAGAAGGGAGAGAACATATAACTTTAGATCAATAAATTGTTTAAGTCTTCCAAAAACCAAAGATCAATTACTTGAAGAAATCCGCATCTTAACAAGAAGCAATTCTATACGGAAATCTCTTATGGAACTCTCTTGACAACAAGTCAAGATGCCCGGACTAAAAACTCAGCTCAAGTAATTTTATGAGTAATTTTACAGTAATAGTCAGATCAAGTAACTATATAGTTAATGGGAAAAGAAATGGAATAGTCATTCATCGATCCTTACTATATGTCCAGCTTTTTAAAATGCTCTGATATGGTGTAGACTCTTTCCGAGCCTGCAGTAGGGCCTGTGAGACAGCTTTTATCATCACACTGCAACTTATCATTCATAACAAAAATACGCATCGTGAGAGACAGAGTCCCAGACCATGTGTACTTTTCACCAGGCTTGATCAACTCAGCTTTCCCCTGGAACTCTTTGATGGCGCATTTCATCTTTCCAGCCTCGCTTTGATTTATACTAAGACGTTTCGCCAACGCCACATCGCTCATTTCAAGCACAGAAGCCACATTTTGCAAAGGAGCGAGCACACTGGCCCCAATCTCACACAGAGTGACTAAGCCACGTATTACAGCTAGTAAAATTTCCCAGTCTTCTCTATTGGTGATCCAGACATCATGTTGTGTGTCGTTAAGAATGGAACAGCTCGAGCCCATGTTTCAGTATCCTATAGTGGCAGAAGGCAGTAAGCTATACTTTAAAAAATGTCATGATGTGAACTAGGGGGAGGCAGAAATACATAAAACATTAGAATATTTATAATTTTCATTTTTTCTTAATTTACGGATTTTTGAGCCAACATTCCGTTATGAAATATACAGAGGTTGTTTTTACTTGCATATACGGTTAGTTTGGAGGTGTTCGTTGTTTGTTTCAACACTAAACAACTATACAGGAATACGAATTATACGATGTTTACTCGTATCCTTAATAGTCTAGGAAACCAATTACTGCGCGCGCAAAAGACAATTATACACAGTTACGCAGTTACACAGTTACACAGTTACACAGTTACACAGTTACACAGATACACAGTTACACAGATAAACAATACAAAATAACAAACAAACTATGAAACTATGAAACTATGAAGCTAAAAACAGCAGTTTATCGAGATGGTTAAAGTCCTCGCCTTATTGCATCTAGGACAAACAGTTTTAAAAGTGCGTGGATTTTTACAAACGTATGATGTTTCTAGTGCTGTAAAATAGTAACTATTCAATGCAATATAGTCTTGAAAGAGCGCAGATTCAAGGGAAATGGCATGAACATAAATTTGTATTTTCTCATTTGAAAAACTTTTAAAATTGTATATTAAGTTCTTATACTGATTTTTTATATCTTGCTTAGTTCTTGAAATATTCTCACTTGAAATAATGGGATGTCCGCCATCTTGAATACATTTTTTATCTCATTGACGGTGTTTTGATGACGTCACAACAGGGATTAACCATATAAAAGTATTCGTTGCTGACCAAATATTGATTGGTAGATGTTTTAAAGATTTTGAGTGATCTTGATATTTCGAAGAGCAGGCAGAGCCTTTCATTTTGATTGCAAAATGATTAGTGATTGTCAAGATAAAAAATTGAAGGCCATGAATACTAGATTCCATGAGCTAGTAAGGCCATGAATACTAGATTCCCCTTATCAGTGCGTTTTCGTAGCGCTTCGCATTGTGGATGTAGTGGTAACACTGGTAAGGATAGCGGCTTCGAACGAAAATATTGAATGTTTTCGCGAATATTTTGCTGTCGACTATCGCGCACCTGACCCTAGCTTTTTTGAAAAGTTCTTGCACGGGTCAGGACAAAAAAATAAGCCATCTTGAATATCAGTGTTACCACTATAACCACAATACAAAGCGCTACGAATCTAGAATTACTCTAAAGAAATGTACCATATCAAGGAATTCACGCCAGTAACAGATTTACAGTAGATGGACATTCTGTCACCTCGATGTATAACCGGTTACAAAACTACTGAATGGCAGATTCAGGATGAATTTTGTTGCACGTCTTTGAAGTCTTTCAAGTTTTAGCATAAGTTTAATAGAGTGAGGTGTCCAGACTTGTGTCGCGTATATAGTTCTCCTTGTGTGATTTGACTCAATGTTCGTATTAACAGTTTCCCCTGATGTAACTCAGTACTACAGTAGTTGTATATTTGCTTTGGCACACTGTCCGTTAAGTTGTCTGGCGGTACCACGTTAAATCAGAGGATATCCAAGCTGACGGCTGACCAAGATTACTTTCGTCCTGCATGGGACATTTATTCGTTCGTTATATTTCTGGAACATTTCGTCAATTGAAGTCAAAAGATTTGCTAACATTGAGAGAATGTTTTTTATGCCTCGTATTACGTAGGTGACACAATATTTTTTCTTAGTTGTAATATCTTACGGTACAAGTATCGGCACAAACAAATGCATGAATATAAACTATCAAACTACAAAAGAAACTACACAACAACAACTATAAGTTCACCGGCCAAGTTTTTAGTCGGTCTTCATGCAGACTTCACAATTTAAAAATGTGAAACAAGTTGAATAATTTCATAGAATGATAATAAATACCTTAAAAAACAGTGCACAGCTTTTCAATTTTTTGCTTTGCAGGCAATCTCTTCAGTACAAAATTAATACGAGCACTATATGGAGTATATGCATTATTTATTAGGCCATTGCCACATGAGAATGGAAGTCATAGATTGCGTCCACCGCCCGCACTGATTTTCATTATTTACAAAAAATTCATTATTTTCACAAATAAAGCAAAACTGAAAGTGCAAGTATTGAATAGAATTATAAAATTATGTATTGCAGTATATTTGTCCTCAGTTGACACATTTGTATAAAATTCCGAATTATATTTACCGAAATGCCGAAATTGCAGGCACACTCAGTGACTCTTCTTCAGTGATGCGACCGCGCGGGTAATTCGTCTTTTTAATTTATCTTAATTCAGCAAAAAAGATTTCTCATTGAATTATTGTGCTTACTGTCCGTTGTAAGAGGAGCTATAGAGCTTGGAATTATATATTTATTGCCATTCTTGGGACATTTCGTTAATCAAAGTCAAAAGATCAAACTTTAGGCCCCATACAGTTACACGATACCGTATCGGAGCGACATCAATTTAAGGTGTTTTCCAGTCTTGTCTGCTATTACAACTTTTCATATATGACGTTTTTGTTTAATTATGTTATACTGTCATAATTTTAAGTGCCAAATTTACCACGAAGCAGTAAAATTTGATGTCGCTCCGATGCGAATCCGGTATCGTGTAACTGCATGGGGCCTTATTAACATCATATGTTAACATTAAGACCATGCAGGTGTAATGTTTTATGCATCATATCACGTACGTGACACAATTAGTATTTACAAGCGGACACCGCAATCGAATGAAACAGAGGGATTTTCCCCAAGATGTAACGCAGGCAATAAATATTTATTGCTTTTCGATTCATACTGCCAAGTTTGCTTCGTTTTTGGCCATATTATGCACGAGGCAAATTTTGCTGCAATTTCTGACAAAGTTGTGTTATCTCAAAATTGGTCGTAGGGAATTGTGAGCGTGCATGGTCCACGGTGTACTCTACACCGATATTTTCATTCCATTTCTTTCATTTTTCATTCCATGAGAGTATGTTAAATACATGCATGCAGAAAGTGCAAGTCGTGTTCATATTTTCTCTGTGACTATTTTAATTTTAGATAATATGACTCTGTGGCAGTAACCGTGTAAGATGAACTGGAATATATGCTTAGTTTTGAAAATTACATTTAATTGCTTTGCGAAAAATGAATGAATAATCCATATATCAGTCGTCAATACACGTACAGCGGTTTCAAGTGGCAAAACTAATAGATTAATATAGAATATTAAACGTAGCAATAAAATAACAAGTAGCCTAACAAGTCAATATCATATCGTATAATATAGGTAGCGATATAGCAGTGGCATGCATAGTTAATCATTTCTGTCAATGAGACAATAATTTTACTTAGTTGTAATATATCTTGTACAAGCAGTACAACACAAGCAACTGAACTGAATATAAACTATCAAGCTGCAAAGCAAACTACACAACAACGTCAACAACTGTAAAAGTCCACCAAGTTCTCAGTCGGTCTTCACGTCCAACTTTTTAAAATACTTGGAAATGTAGTAGACGTTCTCGGACTTATCAGTGGCACCTGTAAAACATACTTTTTCATCACGCTGTAACTTCTCATTCATAACATAAACACGCATGTGGAGAGATAAAGTACCACGCCATGTGTATTTTTCACCAGGTTTGATCAATTCACCAGAATTAGACACATTATTTCTTTGCTCCTCCTCCATGTTTTTTAACTTCTCGTAAAACCTTCTAAAGAGCTCTGTAATAGTGGTGCCCCACGAATAGTTTCCCTCTGCATCTGACTTTAAGCCTGATGAAGAAGACGTATAGCTTCTTTGCTCTTCGTTGTCGTCCATGGTTTTTAATAGCTCGTGAACCTGTCTACGGACCTCTTGGATAGTGCATTCCGAACGGTTTTCTACTGCATCTGACCTTAGGCCTGATAGAGAAGACATATAATTTTTTTCCTCTTCGTAGTCGTCTATGGTTTTTAATACCTCGTGAAGCTTTGTACGGACCTCTTGGATAGTGCATCCTGAATGGTTTTCCGGCACGGAATCTGAACTTAGGCCAGATGGAAGAAAGAATTCCAAAGGTTTAACAAAAAATTGATAGTTTAGTCCGTGAGCTATCCACACGTTACTTTCAGTATCGTTAACAATCGAGCAACCAGAACCCATATCCTAGGATAAAGATAGCCTCAGTATTCTAGGAAACTTATAATTTATAAAATGTGATGCCCTGAAGTTTATCCTTTCACTGAAACGAAGTTTAATACTAAGTCTATCGGACATATTTTCAATCGCCCCTCCGCATGGTTTAAGTGAATGAATTGACAAAGTTTGACGGACCGAATCACATTCTTCAAAATTCATCAGGGATGCCCTTTACCAGTATCAGGTTGTTATACAGGGTGTGTAAAAATAACTGAACAGATTTGAAATTGCTCTCAATTTCGCAAAACACCTATTTGTATCCGGTTTTTTATGTATATAGCTTCTTTGGGTACCGATAATGTAGAATAATGAAAAAAATTTCTCGAACTCATATTTTGTGAACCAGGGGGGGGGGGTGTCTTTTGCCACAAAATAAAAATGGCTCGCGCACAAAATTTAAAAGCTGTAATCATATTGTGAGTTAATAGATGGAAAATTTGTCGGGTTTTTAATTACTGTACAAAATTTCGGACAGTTTGGTATAGTTTAAGGCCTTTAACTATTCACGCAAAGTTACATTTTTCCTAAAAATCATCTATTTGCATGCTTAATTAATGCCTTTGCCTAATTTGCATATGTCAGCAATATGCAAATTAGGTAAAGGCATTAATTAAGCATGCGAAAGGCTGATTTTTTAGAATAAAATGAATAGTTAAAGGGCGAAAACTAAACCAAATTGTCTGAAATTTTGTACAGTAATTAAAAACCCAACATATTTTCCATCTATTAACTCAAAATATGATTACAACTTTTAAATTTTGTGCGCGAGCCATTTTTAGTTTGCTGGAAAAGACACCCCCCCCCCTGGTTCACAAAATTTGAGTTTGAGAAATTTTTTCATTATTCTACATTATAAGTACCCAAAGAAGCTATATATATAAAAAACTGGATACAAATAGATCTTTTGCGAAATTGAGAGCTATTTCAAATCTGTTCAGTTTTTTTTATACACCCTGTATAATGAAGGCGTTGGACTTGAGTGTCGAAACGTGGGTCATGAATGCAACGCGGAAGGACTTTCCTCAGTTCATTTATTTACTTACAACACATTTGTTTTCCTATAGCGTCAGAAAGTGCTTCATAACCTGAACATCACAAGTCACAGTTTCAGTCATGGAAGTTGCACCGGGTTTCGAATGTACACTATAGAGACCTTACGATTTTAGGACGGCAACGGTTACCAATACAATGGACCACTGAAAAGAATTGAGTAATTACAATATATGAATAATTTACGCATTAAATTCATACGATTGAAAATATACCGTGAACTATATTTATCTGAAAGAGTTTGTTTTGGCCATCGCCGTCGCGTTGCCGTCCTAAAATCGTAAGGTCTCTACACAACGCCTAAATGCATACGAGTTCGGCAGGGCCGTGCCGAGCGGTACCTGGTTAGGGGGCGGGGGTGAATTCGAACATTTCGCCCCCTTTCATTTAGAGGGCCCCCTCAAATTTTTTTCCGGAGAATGTGGCGTTCTCCTCCCCCCCGAAAACAAAACGCCCCCAATTTTTTTCCAAACACTAGTTTGAGACAATGGCGCGCATGGGGCGTTAAAAATACTTTTCCAGACCTTTTTGCCGACCTCAATTTTTCAGAAAATTCCTTAATATTTAACACGTTCCACAATTCCAACATTCCGGGGGCTCCTCTGGGGCCGTTGGGCCCTCTTTCTTGACTTTTCTTTGGGGTGTTACTCTCCCACAGCCCTCCCCCAGTAGTTTCGCCCTTGTACAGTAGTTCGCATTCCGCTTGAGCCAATTAATTTTTCGTTTGTCTATTGCAGTGTCAGAATAATATGAAACTGCTTTTTCGTATCTCTGAGAATGGTTCTGAAATAGAATTGAGACACTGCGCGTCTCTATTAGGACAAGCGGCGGTTGGACCAGTAAAGGTCGGTGTTATATCTACCGTAGCCAACGAGGTAATTCAGAAAAAGATGTGATATAGTAATCTGTAGAAATAATTAGCAGACGCCGATCACATAATATTGAATGCAATATCGGCAAATCTAACAGCAGATGGTTCCTGAATAAAAAGAACGAGTTACTATATGTTCAGTGCTTGCAATACTATTACTAATATAATATGAGAGTGAGGGACTCTATCACTATTACACTATAGTATCATACTAACCTGAAATTGTCAGTTGAAAAACCAGCAATCGCTTCTGCTGTAGTCTGCACAGTTTGTCGGTAAGAGGAAACTGACGCTTTCTTTGGTCTCCGCGGACCTTTATATTCCCGAATCCTTGCGTTTTAGGGGAAGTACCAGAACTGCATGGGTCCTCTCTCATTAAACTTTTACACTGTCAATAATTTTTGTTTTTGAAGCGGAATATCCGTGATTCAACTTTTCAGTCATTTTAAATACTTCCAAGCCAATAGTTTTGTACTGTAGCGCTAGTTTCCTCTATATAAAGCCGTTGTTCATTACTGCCGAATGAAAACACTACAAAAGTGCAATATGTGCATTTTAAGTATATGCTGATTTCACTGAATTTAAGAATTTTCAAAGAATCCAAATTGCAAAACAAGTTGAATAATTAATTTTATACAATTATTAATACCTTCAAAAACAGTGCACATGCAGCTGCTTCAATTTCCATTCACCTTCGCTTTGCAGCCAATCTCTTACAAAATTAGAAGATCTCTTTACCTTTAAAAAACAGTCGAACAGTCTACCGCTATTGTAAAGAAAACGGTCATTGACTTTGTCATATTTATAGCTTGTGCATGTGCAGATGATGCCCAAAAATGCAGGAATTCTCACGAGCATGCGATTTAGATTGAAATTCTCAACCCTTCTCAAATTCCCCACCGTAATAGCCCCTAATAGCTATTCAAAACAGGTTGGGTGGCGATGTGATGTCCCGAATTCATGGATACCTTCAGGGATTATATTATCAACTCTCATTCATGTGACACCACCTTTTTGACAGCATACATCGGCGTGACGACAAGTCATTTCGTGAATCTTGCGTGGCGACAAATCACTTCGACAAATTGACATACAAGATACGATTCGACAACGCGACGCGATTTTTCGATCTTCACTGGCCGATAACTTTGATTCTAGTTTGAATTTTCCAAATATTTAGAAGCGGTATAACATTTTGAGTTATTTGGTCTACATATCTTTCAAAATTTGCTCTCATTGGCTGTTTTATTAACTTTCAAAAACTGAAAAATCGCGTCGGGTTGTCGAATCGCGTCCGGTGTGTCTGGACCTTACACAGCGGACGCAATTTGACAACACGACGCGATTATATTTTTCGATTTTCACTGACCGATATTTTCAATTAATTTTTTTCACTGCAATCAAATGAAAGTATGAAACAGATAGATTTTCCTAAGATATTACGCCGGCAATATAAATATTTAATTGCCTTTCGTGTTCATAAGATCAACAGTACACGCGGCGAATATTTTTGCTGAAATGCAACTTAGTATACGCAGTTTCTGACAACTAAGTTGTAATATCTAGACAAAATTGGTCATAGGGAAATTGTGACTTGTGAGCGTGGTCCACCGGTTTACTCTATACTGTACCGATATTTTCATTTCATTTCTTTCATTTTTCCTTTCAAAGACTGTCGAACAGTCTGCCGCTATATCGTAGGATCGGATACATATACGAACACTTATCTGTCGCATTATATATTGATTGAAATCTACAACCGCCTCAGCATGCGGTCCAAAGCTATTTGCAATGAATGTATTTATTATTGCAGTAAGTTTGTCCTCATTTTATTTTCACACAAAATGAAATTCCGAATTTTATCTATATTTACCGAAATTGTGCATGAACGGTAATTCTTGTTTTCGGTAATTCTAATCAACAAATAAGACCCAAATAAGAATTTCTCATTGAATTGAGCTTCCTGTCCGTTGCAAGAGCAGCTAGAGGCTAGAGCCTAGAATTATATATTTATTCTCATTCCTGGGACATTTCGTCAATCGAAGTCGAAAGATCAAACTTGCTAACATTGCAACCAGACACACTAATTAATTGTAATCATACTGACGGCTAATATAATCGAATGAAACGAAGGCATTTTCTCCAAGATATAACGCAGGCAATGAATATTTAATTGCTTTTTTCTGTTCATAACGATAAGTTTGCTTCGTTCTTGGCCGTGTTATAGGCTACACGTACGAGGCAATTTCGCTGCAACGTAATATGCAATCTCTGCCACAAAGATGTTGTGAGCGTGGTATCGACTATCGATATTTTCATTCCATTTCTTTCATTTTTCATATTCCAAAAGAGTATGTTAAGAACGAAAGTGCAGGCCGTGCTCACATTTTCTCTGTGACTATTTTTTCGATAATATGCTTGCCTCGTGTAACATGGCTTTAAGAAATTTCCGTCGAATTGGATGAAGCGTTCTGAATTACCCGCTGCCGCGCTGCGTGCTTTCGAACATGTAGTCATGAAAGCCGTTCTAAATATATTCAACAGTTTATCTCATTAGGGCCATTTATACGAGACAAAGTAAGACGCGACTTACATAAGACGCGACTTAAATAAGACGCGAGTTTGTCGTATAAACGGCACGAAATTCTTATGTAAGACGCGTCTTGGATAAGACGCGACTTAAATAAGAACAGGACTTTTAGCCGTTAAATTCTAACTACACATGCCCGAAACTTGAAACAACGTAAAATTATTAGCTTTGCATATTAAACTGCAAAAACAACCGAAACAACATTATAGTTATAGCAAGTAAATAAGAATAAAGCCGTCAGGGGCGAAACTAGCCCCTTTTAATTAGGGGGGTGTCTGGCAGAATTGCCCTGCCAAAACCAGTGATGCCCTGCCAAAAAGTACCAAAAAAATTTTTCCGGAAAAATTATTTTGGCGAAAAAATTCAGTCTGTGTACCATTTTAGGGGTCAAAAAAATTTTCCGGACAACCTATATTTTTCGGAACATAACACAAATTTTCGAAAAATCACACAATTTGCGAAAAAATTCACTTAATTTTAGATAAAATTGACTGAATTTGTCCCATTTTTTTTTTTCAACATGGCAAAACATGTACTGACAAAAGGTCAACAAGTGTCCGGTGTCATATCATTACGGTGGCCCATAAGTGCAAAACACAAAACAAGAAAACCAAAGCGCATTTCACGATTCTCAAACACATTTACCAGTTTTCTAGACATATATTTACATTTAACAAAACACATTTTAAAAAGTCAACACACATTTGAACATCGCAAAGCACATTTGACAAATCGCAAAACAAATTTGACATCGCAAAACACATTTGACATCGCAAAACACATTTGACATCGCAAAACACATTTGACATCGCAAAGCACATTTGACATTCCAAAACGCATTTGACATCGCGAAACACATTTGACATCGCAAAACACATTTGACATCGCAAAACGCATTTGACATCGCGAAACACATTTGACATTCCAAAACACATTTGACATCGCAAAACACATTTGACATCGCAAAGCACATTTGACAAATCGCAAAACACATTTGACATCGCAAAACACATTTGACATCGCGAAACACATTTGACATTCCAAAACACATTTGACAGATCGCGAAACACATTTGACATCGCAAAACGCATTTGACATCGCAAAGCACATTTGACATCGCAAAACACATTTGACATCGCAACCAAAATTCTCGGCCCCTTTAATTTGTGGCCTGTTGAGGGTGTCAGGTGAAGCGGGAAAACACTGTAGTAAACATACTGTTTGTATTCGGTACTGTATTGAGGTGTAGCGTAGGTGTTTTTTACTGTAATATATGGATGAAGAGGAAGCAATTAGATATTACTTTTTCAGAAGGTATGAGTATAGTACGATATTAGATTTTCTGGATAAATATCACGACATAAAAATGTCAAAACGGACTCTTTTGAATCGTTTGAAACAATATGGTTTAACCCGACGAAATTGTGACATAAATGAAGCTGTTCTTCGACAGCACATTAGCATAGAACTCGAAGGAGCTGGAAACCTACTTGGCTACCGAGCAATGTGGCGAAAACTACATTTAAAGTATGGAATAAATGTGCCAAGAT